TATATATATATATATATATATATATATATATATATATATATATATATATATATATATATACAGAGAGAGACAGAGAGAATATATTATGTCTATTGCAACTTGTAGCTGCATGTTTGTCTTCTTAATATATCTCCAGTCGGGGTTTTGTGTTTCCGCTCGCAAATAAATATAATATTAAATACAAATAAATAAAATATTAAATAAAAAAATAAAATATTAAATAAAAACAAATATAATAGATAAAATAAAATAAAATTAGGTGGGCTGCTGTAAACCCGTGCTGGGTATCGAACCCTGGTGGGCTCAGGAGAGCAAATGTTTCTTTCTATTTGTATTATATAAATACTATTTATATATTTATAAATCATATAAATTATATATATTGTTTAAATATTTTATTTTTTATATATTCGGGTGTACAGGCAGCCCCTCTGCTGTCTAGGGGGGGTGGCTTGCCCCCGAGCGAAGCAGAATACATCTCTTGTGTGCAGCAGTTGAATTGCATAAAACTTGAGATTAATATAAAAATAATTATATAAATAAATAAAATAATAATATAAATAAATAAAAATAATTATATAAATAAATAAAAAATAATTATATGCTGGGTGTTGTGTTCTGTGCTCGGTGCCTTTCTCGTCGTCGATTGTTGCTGCAATCGAGCTCAGCTGCCGGAGTATACACAAACATTATAATAATCTTTCTGAATATGTTTATTAAAATATTTTAAATAAAATAAATAATTTTAATAAATAAATAAATATTTTATAAATATTTTTATTTGAATTTCGGTGGAGTGTGCAGCGCAGAGCAGAGCGAGCTGCACGGCGGTATCGAGTGCTCACCCTCCAGCAAGCAACTATGAGTGAAACACGGATTTAATTTGTGATAAGAATAAAAATAAAATAAATAAATAAATTTAAATAAATTAATTTAATTTAATTTCGCAACATTTTGCAGCTTTCTTCGGCTGTATAGACAGCTACCCGCAGCCAGCCGCGCAGCCGCCTCGAGCCACCCACCACCGGTCGCGGTGGTGGTGCCGATACACCGCAGCGGTGCGTATACACTGCAGCATCTTTCTGCTAAAAATCAGTTGAATTAAAGTTCTTTATTTCTTTATTTCAATATATTTAAAAAAAATAATTAAAAAAAAACGAAACGAGCCGCTATTGAGCTGCCTAGACACCTGAACACCGTATAGCTGCATCACACCACCCCCGCGCGGTGGTGGTTCTGCACTCATTTTCTTTGTTTCTTTTTCGTGTATTTTCGTGTGTGTTTGTTTCTTTTCTTTTTAAATATATTTCTTCTTCTTTAACCTTTCTTTACTCTCAATACACCTGCTGCTGTCGGCAGCAACACGGCCTCATTGCTGCTGCCTATCGAGCTAGCCAAAGAGAAAGCTGCTGCTGCGAGTTTCCTTGTGAAAATGCAGCCTCTTAACGAAGCATGCGAAGAAACACAACAAAATACAAACATAAGAAACGATGAAATAGAAGAAACAGCAGCAGCAGCAGCACCAGCAGCAGCAGCTCCTGCTGTTGCTGCTGCCGACGCTGCTGCAGCAGCTACAGCGCCCCCAGCAGCAGAACCAATGAGCCCCCCGCAGCGGCTCCGTGTGAATCGTATTGTTTCTATGTTAAGTAGGAGAGCAGCAGAAGAGGAAGAAGAGAGAAGAAGAGTATCAGCAGGAAGAGCAGCAGTTGCAGCAGCAGCAGCAGCAGCAGCAGCAGAACAATTTGGTGGGCTTGATGATACTGCTGTTTTTTCTCTCTATACACAAATAAAACACTTCGGAGATATAAACCAGTTTATTGTTCCTCACAGCAAGCGAGATTCTTCTGCTGCTTTTGGTGAGACATACAGCAGCAGGAGTAGATACAGAAGCAGCAGCAGCAGCAGCAGCAGCAGCAACAGCAACAGCAGCAGCAGCAGCAGCAGCAGCAGCAGCAATCTGATAAACGAGGACTACACAAGCGCCCCCAACACCAACACCACAACCAACCGCACCACCACCAACACCAGCAGCAGCAGCAGCAGCAGCAGCAGCAGCAGCAACAGCAGCAGCAGCAGCAGCAGCAGCNAGCAGCAGCAGCAGCAGCAGCAGCAGCAGCAGCAACAGCAGCAGCAGCAGCAGCAGCAGCAGCAGCAGCTACAGAAGCAACAATATATTAAGCTATAACAGCGATTACTTTATCAGCACCAGCGACTACATCACCGACACCACCGCCTACTACGCCAGAAACAAACACAGATTCGGCAGCACCACCAGCAGCAGCAAGCAGCTCATCTGCAGACAGCCAAACTGCTGCATGCAAAGGGATACACAACAAAAAGATTAAAAATATAAAAATATATAATATATATAATATTAAAAAAAAAAATAAATATTTATATGGTAGCGACATAAACGTCTGCTTCTCCGGCTGTATGTACACCTCATCGTCTTCCTCATCGCCTCGCCCTCTCTTCCTCCAGGACCAGCCGCTAGCTAGCTAGCTAGCTAGCTAGCTGGCTCTCTGGCTAGCTAGCTAGCTAGCTAGCCAGCTAGCCTTCTAGCTAGGTAGCCAGCTAGCCAGCTGTCTAGCTAGGTAGCTTCATAGCTAGCTATCTAGCTTTCTAGCTACCTAGCTAGCTAGCTAGCTAGCGATCTAGCTAGCTAGCTGCCTAGCCAGATTTATATCTAGCCAGTTAGCTTTCTATTTAGCCTTCTAGCTAGCTAGCTAGCTTTCTAGCTAGCTAGCTTTCTGCTAACCTAGCTAACCACATAGGTGGCTAGCTGGCTAGCTACCTAGCTAGCTCGCTAGCTAGGTAGCTGTGTCTGTCTAGCATGGGGGATGAAGAGGCATCGCTGACAGCGCTACAGCAGGTGTTTCGGGGGTCAGCTGCTGCTGCTGCTGCTGCTGATGCTGCTGCTGCTGCTGCTGCTGCTGCTGCTGCTGCTTCTAATATTATTTTGTCTGCGCTCCGGCGGAGCACCGCGGCAAATCCAATTAGGGCTGCATACGTGCCTGCATGCATGCATGCATGCAGTGCTGCATGCATGCATGCATGCATGCATGCATGCATGCCTGCATGCATGTGTGTGATGTTTTTTCGTGTTTATTCTGGCCGGAAGGGGGAACCTGCGTTTTACTTTTAGCTGATTTTATGAGGGGGGATACAGCAGGTGCAGATGCATGCGTTTCGGGTGTACGTACAGCTGCTATAAAAGCTGCTGCTGCAGCAGCAGCACAAGTAGCAGCAGCAGCAGCAGCAGCAGCAGCAACACAAGCAGCAGCAACAGCAGCAGCTGCTGCAGCAGCGGCTTACAATCTGTAGGCTGCAGTGTTCTGGTTTTGCTTTGCATATAAATGCAT